CGCTCGTTCAGGGTGAAGAGCCCGGGCAGCGTGCGCTGTAGGTACGGCGATACCGAGTACAGCTCGCCGGCGAAGTGCCGACGGCGCTCAACGACCCAGTTGGCGGGCGAGTGGAAGCGGTGGTAGTCGCCCGGCGCGAGGTAGACGACGGCGTAGTAGAGAGATGTCTTCTTATCGGGGCTGACGGTGTACCAGGGCGTTTCGCCCAGCGCGAGATCAGCCCTCACCTCGGAGACGGCACTCGGGCTGGAAGGGACAGCGCTCTGGTCCTCGATCTTGGGGTTCTCGTGGCTTTCCTTGGGGCCACCCGAGAGCAGGCCGGGGACGGTATAGGAGATGCCGTTCACTTTGGCGAATTCCTCGTCAGCCTTGACTAGCTCCTCGTCGCCGTGTAGCTTGCGGCTAGCGCGTCGCTGCTCGCCGGTCTCGGCGTCTGGCTCGGACTCGCTGCCCGACAGACTCAGCGCTGGCGTGTTCTTCCCCAGCAGCGCATCCACGGTGTAAGTCATGCCTTTCACCTGCTCAATGTCATTTCCCTCAATTTTCCCAAACTGCAGGACACGCCCGTCCGAGGGCGACAGCAGAGCATTCGGGTCCGGATCCAACGGCCGTACGCCGGGCTTCAGGGTCCTATAGAAGAACGCGGCTAGGTTGGGATAAACGCGGAGGTCAGGCTCTGATACCTCATCTAGGTTCACCCCAAAGATAAAGGCGTAGAGCTTAAAGCCGGGCACACGCAGGTAATACGGGATAGTGAGTTCGTTAAACTTGCCCCACAATCTCGACATGGCCTTGAGAGGCAGAGTGGACATGACCTGAACTTGCCTGTTTGGAAATCAGTGTAAGTCAAGCAGCTTGAGAAGCTCCAGATATTGCCCGGCTTACCATGGTCCATCTGGGCGCACCCTCGACCGCTTCTTGGGGCGCCGCTCTTGCTCCTCGGATGCCTCCCTCTCGAGTCTTTCTTTCTCCCGCGCCTGTGTTTTATAGAAGTGTATGAAGCCCAAAAGCCCCACGCCGAGCCCCACGGGTATGGGATACCACTTGACCTTCGTGTCGTTCAGGGCATGTCGAAGTCTCGAGCCGAAGCGGTCCCGATTCTGGGACACACGCCTCGAGTGGTGGAAAGAAGCCTTGGAGGTTGCAGCGAATGGCCGTGCTGGTGGCCAGACATTGGCTCTTCTTGGTTGGCGACAAAGACACTGCGGTTCGGCATTCGAGGGCAGACGGACTCGTCCCCGAATCAAAGCCGTCGACGGTGTTGCCATTGCCTTGGGGTTGGAGAGTCCTTGGAGAAGAGAAAACCCGGCTAAGAAATTAGGGGCTTTTGCAAGGCACGGATCACCTCGTCACAGCATGGCACCGGCTTGGAAAAGCGTATTTCGGAGGCAGGGGAATTCGGTGCTGGTACAGGAATCAAGCGGAAAGAGTCAATACGGTACAAAATAGCAAGGCGAAGGTGGTTCGCAGGATTTAGCCAGGATGCAGTACCCAGGTCCAGCACCATGACGCAAGTTTATGCATGGGTACAGAGCCCTTCTACTTGTAGGTACCTACTTAGTTGATAGAATTCGGCGGTGTAAGCGGGCAGACGCCGGGAGGACATGAGGTGTAGCGTGGGTTTTACTAATTTAGGATGCGCTAATACCAAGGCGGTTTAACACCTTCTCTAGCTCCATGTATGTACACAACTGTATCCTTTCTCGCGTAGCAACCTGCCGGCCAATTTGTAGATACTACCGGCCGGTACACTAAGGCTTACCGCCGTATCTAGGTACCTTCGGGAACAGCTGGCCGGTACGTGGGGTACTGTGCTCCTTAAGGACAGCAAGACTACCTACTGCCATCTAGCCTATACCTACCTAACCGTACCTCAACTTATTAACAATCAAACCAGCTGCATCAGTTTGGCACAAGACATCAACTGCTAACACTATCTGTTCTCCCTCTCCTTCTTCTTCTTCTTCTTCCTCTTGCTCTTGCTCTTTCATTGTCTTTCCTTTTATTGTCTTCGACTTTTATTCTGTCAAGTTTGGTGCTTGGATTCGCCATCGGCAGATCTGATACCTGGACGCTCCCTTGCTCTCCTTCTATAACTGCATCCCCGGCGATATTTTGCCTAACATGCTAGACATCACCCCGGGTCCTCTCTTCTCGTGGTGATTGCCCAGTTGGAGTTCTGGACCCGACGAAGCCCGCCGCCTCCATCTCAGAGGCCACCTGGGCCTTTGTTGTCGCCCGCCCGTTTACCCGTCGTCGTTGCAATGGCGGGCAGCCCAATCGAGTCGTCGGCTTCTGCGCCGGAGGAGCCCGGCCAGTTCACACTGCAGATTCTCTCACCGTCACTTAATGTGCCTCAGCCTCTGTTCCTGACTATCCCTATCACGACGACGGTTCAGCAGTTGAAGGAGCGGATACGGAGCCACGTCACCACAAAGCCGCCAGACGATGCACAGCGGCTTATCCATAGAGGACGCCTGCTGGCACGAGAGTCCGAGACCATGGTTGAGCTGTTTGGCGAAGAGCCGGTAGGTTTATACCTTTGCGATTTGCCTGTGCAAGAATAGCAATAATAACGTGCCCATCGCAGCTTCGGACCGCAGACCACCAGACTCTCCATCTCGTCTTACGCGATCTTTCCGACGGCCAGACGCCAAACCCCCGGCCCGTTTCCAGCCAACATGCAAGCTCTCGCTCACAGTCCCCGGGCCATCAGCTCCCACAGCAGCCACAGCATCACGCCCGCTCCTACGTGAGGCTCGGTCCCCACCCTAACCTGGCCTATGGCAACCCTCAGGCGCCGGGTGCCTTGAATGGCACTCAACTCCCACCTGGCATGACAGTGCAGCACCTCTTGCAGAACCAACTCCAAGGGAATTTAGGGCTTCAGGCCCAGAATCAAAATCCACTACTCAGCTCGATGAATCAACATGGCATACAGAACCGAGGTGGTCCAGGCACCACGACACCAGGCAGAACAGGGTCCCCATTTGGCCCTGAGACCACACGTACTGTAGTCCGTGAAGGGGTCGGCCCGGATGGCCAGCGGTGGCGTGTTATTGTCAACGAGTCGATCATTACTACGGCGCATAGACCTGGGAGTACCGGCCCTCCCGCTCCATCAGCTGAAACGCCTGTGCCCCCAAATCCGCAGCCACGGGCAACCCCATTCACAGGATCACTGGGAGGATATGATTCTCAGTATAATTTTCGCCCACCAGATATGGACTCTGCAACACGCGCTATGGTCGATGCTATGCGGCGGAATGCTAGCAGCTCTTCCCTAGCAAATTTAGCAAGCTATCAGAACCAGCAGCCCATTCCGCCGGGCGTTACAACACCTCTAGTCCCATCTCGCAATGGAAGCACAGCCGGTACCCCCGATCCTTTACGAGCAACCGGACGTGCTACCAACGCCTCCGCCGGAACTAGTACAAGCCAAGCATCCTTAGCAACGCCCGAAGTATATATTCTCTCTTCACCGGATGGGCCTCGAGCGGTCTTGTTAAATGGGACCCTAGGAACATATTCTAGCTCTCAGCTCCGCAGTTATCAACCCGTTGGTGCTCCTCCCGCACCCATGCCATTCCATATCGTTTCAGCAATCGCACCACATCCGGGGCAAGATCCTCCACCGCGGATTATCCCGAGGTCCTCTATAGCTAATAGAAACACATCAAATACTAACCCAAACAATCCGCCACCGGCCCAACAACCTCAACTACAGCCTCAGAATGTGCTGCAAGTACCAGACCCCTTGCAAGCCCACCTCGGTCATGGAATGGCAAACCCTCAAGTCCATGCCATTAGGATAGTCCAGATATGGCCTCATATATGGATGATAATTCGCCTTGCATTGTTCATTTGGTGGTTTACCTCCCCAACATCCAGTTGGTCCCGGTGGATTACTGTGATTTCGATTGCAATCGCCTTGTTCATAGTCAACACTGGAGCTTTCAATCCTTTAGCCGAGCAAATATGGGTTCCTCTACGACGCCATTTAGAGAACCTAATCCCTCTTGCCGCGGACGGTGAAGGTCGTAATCAGCAGCATGCGGCAGCGGAAAACGCTCAAGCTGGAGATGCAAACGACATGGATCCTGCGAGGCCACAAAATCCCAACCCGGCTGACGCGGCAGCCAGGTTAGTCCAACGGCGCCGCCAAGACAACGCCAATTGGTTATTGAACCAGGCAAGACGACTAGAGCGTGCTGGTATCCTCTTCATTGCTAGTCTCGCCCCAGGTTTGGCCGAGAGACATATCGCCCAGGTCGAGGCTGAAGCTCGGGCAGACAGACAAAGGCAACAGGAAGCTGAGGCGGCCGCAGCGGCCACTTCCGCAGCACTGGCAGACGACGTTGATGGTAATTCCACGACTGATAGGCCTGAAGCAGGTGAAACTCTTTCAAATGACAATTCCCCGAATTACGAGGCAGAATCTTCCAACAGTGCGTTAAGACAAGACGCGAGCGCTCAAGAATCTGGCAGCGCATGAAAACTGGCAACACGCAGGTGCTTAAACAAGAGGCGTGACAACAAAGTGAAAAGAACGTAAAAGCCGCAAGCAGCCTTTTGATGACGGTTTCATTAGCATAACTCGGGGAAATAGGATTGCGACTTACTATGCTTGAGAGTAGTCGAATCACCGTATGTGTGGGCAATTTGCTATATATACCTAATTTCATAAGAAGCGTGAAGCATCGCATACTATATAACAAGCGAAAGTGTGATGAAGGATAACTGAAACAAGTTTGTTTGGACCGCAAGCCGTTAATGCCAACAAGTGAGCATGGGCGGCACATTCATGAATGAACTTTCTTGTATTGTTGTTAGAGTAAGTAGGTTTGATCAAAGCGTGATGAAGTCTTGAGAATGGTACATGTGCTCTTCTAAGAAAAAGTCCCCATTGTGTTTCAAATTTGATAATTATTCTTCCTACCTACCCCCCACACTGTACGTAACACAAATACGAACCAAGAAAAATGTAAAAATGTAAAATATGACTGGACCAGGAATCGAACCTGGGTCTATTCGGATTTGATAGTGGTTTGAAGCCAAGCCACAACGAATCGTACTAACCACTATACTATCCAATCATTTGGAGTTGGTTGATAAATTTGGGGAATTCTGATGGTTATTATAGTAATTTCCTACTACAAAAGCAAACAATCAAAAGAAATACTAAGTGAGATGAATATTACTTGCTTATAAGAAATACACAAGAAAAACAAACTATAAAAACCAGATCTGTATCTTTATTTCCGGAGGACGGCGTGATTTATCTAGTGAATCCTACATCACCCCGAGATAAATGCTACTCTGTGACAAACTGTCACACGCATACCGGTTGAGGAGCTGAATATGCCGTGACACTCGTTGTCAGGGGTAGTTGAATACGGCCTTAGGCAAGGTAACCGGAGGTAGGAGGTCCGAAGCTTGGGTCTTAAACACTGACTCAAAGAGGAAATACCTAGCGAGAGAAGTGAGGCTATCCAGAGTATTAGAACCTACCTAGCTAGATCCTCCCGCGAAGGGCCCGGAGAATAGATCTACATAAATCTCGTTGACTCTATAGTTGACTATTATATGAATAGAAAAACCTCCCTTTCCAAACGAGCCATTATTAACCGAGCAAGGTAATTACTGAAATGGTGATTGGCACCTTGATGCCATAATTCTTGTTCTCGCTTTGCTGCTGTCTTATACATATCCTTGTCTGCGTTGAGAGGTGAAATGCTACGGGGAAGCAGACCATATAGCTGCCAGTACTATAACTCCAGGCAAGAGAATCACAACAGTCATAACGTTCAACATGTCAAATTCTCAATAAAGAGAACTGAAAAATGCACTCAAGGTAGCTATAAGAACTACTAGACCGTATGATTAGCGAAAGTGTCGCTTTTATAGACCCGGAGATGAAGCGGGCCGCGTAAGAAAATACCCTAGCGTCTGGGAATATATTAAACTTCCAACTAGATCTGAGAGCCGCGTATTCCGGAGGCGAAATAGATGGGGTTGAACTGGCTGTTGACTACTTGGCCATTCCAAGGAGACCAGTCTATTTCCGGCTTATCGGCGGCGGTAGAAGGCATGATAACTTTGGTGTTTGATTCTTAACTTCTGAACGATAAAGGCACTTGGCGAGTAGTTGACAGGCTTAGTGGGTGTTACTTACCCCTTTTCTATTAAAAGAGAAAAAAGAATCCCGACCCCGCATGTGAGCTTGTGTGGAAATACTGCCCTCCTACCATGTAACCACGAAAATAAGGGCGAACTAAAATACACGTCAGGAAACATGGTGTTTATAATGGTGAAAAAAAAAAAACAACTCGAGGAAATCTACGTGACCGTCTATATGGTCGTCTATATGGCCAATACTTTTACCTTCAATGTCGTTGCAAAGCCTGCCCCTCGCGAGAAACTTAATCTCAAAAGTTAGTTAAAAAGGTGAGCCCGGTTACTACTGCTTGGTATCTGGGGTTCTTCCATTGTATCTACTCATACAGTAGTATCTTGTAATAGTTTGAATGCCGGTCATCCCATGATAGCATACCTACTCCGGGTGAAGAAGGTCGTAGGTGGGTGGTAGCTCAGTACGTAGTCGCACCAACAGGCATTGAACTTGATATACCTCATTATCCACGCATATTTTTGCTTGGCAAGGCCCTACATACAACCATACCCAACGGAGAACTTGGGATTCCGTCCGATCTCCTATAAATAAGCCGTCGAGGGCCAGATTTCTAAAAGAGGGTACGTACGGTCATCACGCTATAGATGAATCGGGAACATCTGAATTAGGGGCTTGCAACAGTATCTGTGTATACCTAGGTACCTACATATCTGGGCGATGTTGGCTGAGTGACGGTGATACAGAGCAGTCGCCATACTGAGCAGTCGCCATACTGAGCAACTGCGATGCTCTATGATACCTGGTACCTAAGGCTAGGTACCTACTTAACCTTAGGTATAAGGAGGCACTTACTTACCTAGTAGGTTAAGTACCTACCCGAGTACTTTTGACAACCTATGTCCAGTTCAACCTCTGCAGGCATTCGATATTTTTTGCACGCAACCTTGCAAGTCCACCCCGGAAGTCTACCATCCCAGCCCTGCTCATTGCCTTTTGCGTCTTGACTGCCGGCTACTGCTGCGTTTCCATATACCACGCGAGCATCATGCTCTCCGTCGAGGTGAGTTACCCAATTGTACGGCAGCCACCTCGGTACTATGGTTTCGCTGCCCAATCTCGGCTTACGTGTGGCTTCCCCTGCGCTTCCTAAATATCACGACACACAACACACACACACACCTCCCCCCCTTTACCCCCCCCGTGCGCCGCCATGCTACCAGCCACCATTGGCTTTTACTTGCACCTGACTTCCCGGAGACTGTATTTATTGCCACAGCTTCTGGTTACGGTTTTGTCTACTGACGCTAGCTGAGAACAGTACTACGGGGCAAAGCGCAAGCATTTCGGACGGTGGAAGCACTCTACACTCGTTACCGACGAGTTTATTTCGCAATATGTTGTCATCAAGGATAGTAGAACGAACCTTAAAGCCCGCTGCCTCACAGATTGGCAGCGTGAGCTGTACGACAAGGTGGACTTCCTCGCCCACAACCGCCGTATCATTATCCATCGCGACTACGTGAACGACGAAATGTTTTATCGCCAGAGCCATGTGTATGCTGCCATCATCTTTCGGAATGGGGAAGCGGCCAGGTCCCGAGCGGAGCGCTGCGAAGCCTGTCGGACTAAAATCGACAAAGGCAGGGCTATGATATTTCCAGAGTGCGTCCGCTTTGATCGAGCCCCCGTGCCCGGCGCTTGCTGTGCCTGTGCCAACTGCAAGTGGCATGATACGTCGGCCTCGTGCAGTTTTGTGCACCCTGTTGATAGCGACCATCACGACGACGACGACGACGATATTTCTCATGATGCCGAGTCTGCTCGGGGAGTACGCTCTTCCCAGAATACGTCAGCCGACAACAGAAACATGTCAGGGCAGCAAAACGGGAGGTCTCTGGAGATGATCGTTATCTCGTCTGACTCATCTGACAATCAATCAGCACCTTTACATTCCAGTAAGTCACAGTCGTAGGTTATGAAAACTATGTTGACTGTATATGTAGTGCGCCAATCTCATATTTACGTGCAAAAACGGCGCCGTGGCATGGGTAACATCTCAATGGTCGACATAGACGACGGGAAAGAGATGAAAAGAAGACGTAATAAGAATGTGACTAAGAAGGGTGGAAAGGCATCTTTGATTAAAGATTCTAATGGCAGAGCGGATAAGGACGAGGAGGAGGATGGAGAGGAGTGGCACGGCTTTTCTGATTGAGTTACATCCGATTTGCTACTGTGACATGAGGGACGAGGGGTAAATGCCTACGGGACATGGTAACACGGCCGGAGCTGCTATCGCCGTGAGTATGTCTGAACAGCTTGTTTCTCGATCGTGTGACCACATTACTCATTGGCTCCATCTGATGATTGCTGCATACTTGTGGCTCCAGGCAGGTTTAAGCTTGGGTTTCAGCTACCGTCGGCTCAAAATATCAAGCTTGGCCGGTTGTAGCCTATCGTCTACCGTACAGAGAACCCATATTCCCATACCTGTAGGTACGTTACGTGGTCTGTGACTGTAGCTACCTGTATGGGTAAGTAACTTCAGTCCAAAATGGGCAGTCATTCATCTCACATGTGCGGCCGGGTTTCCAGGGTGACATACAGCGCTAAGTAGCAGCGTTCTACATTCCTACTCCAGCGCATCTTAGCGGCATCATTTCCTATCCACAGCGCTTTCTACCATTAACACCACTAAGCTGCAGCGCCCTAACACACCTAAATCAAACGGCCTCAAGATTGCTTGGCACGACAACCAAACGCTGGCGCTAGCAATGATGCTCGGTTCGTAGCAATAAAGCCCGACTTCACTTATAACGTGAGCTCACCGTTAGAGCATCTCGATTCCTATCCTCTTGTTTCCCTCCCTCAAGACATCAGTACCCGATACTATGAAACAACCTTTAGACATTCCCCTGAAACACCTGGTCTTGCATTTCCTTGTGTTCGGCGTAGCAGTACTATAAGAACCCGGTATTCCGGGGAGGCTGCCGCCCCTAAACTCATGCTGTACTGCTGCTGGCTAAAAGATCCCCCTTTTTGCTCCCATATAGGTTTCCGGTGAGCAAACATGGATGTTGGGACGGCCAATAAGCTCCAAATATGAAATGCAGAGACAAATGGCATGCACTACAATATTATCTCATTTTACTGACCTGACCACCGTAAGACGAAGCCGGGAGAGAAGCCGTAGCTGGTCGTTCATGTTCTGTCCCGTCTAATCACACTTATGAAGATACTCGAGAAAAACTGACTGTTCGATCATGAGTCGAGCGCGATGCCTAAGCAGGACACCTCCTGGGACCTCCGAGGTATATCGGAATTAAGTCGCGAGTTTCAAATATGAAGTATCCTGCCTAGCATGCCCGGTATTATACGGGCTACATGGTAGATGTATGTAAGTGTATCGACAGTTGTTACTATCTACCTAAGGCACTACGCGAATACGCAAGGTATTATCTTCAATTACTGACCTAAGTAGGTAGGCATAGGTTGATGCTCACACTTGATTCGTAAATAGCCGCACGTGAACCAGTCGGTGGTGAGAGGTAAAATCTGGAGTTGAACCGCGCTATTCGTCACTCAAGCTCACCTCGTTCTAGGAGGCGTTGGCAGCCCAAGGTGTTTGTTTCATCCCTGGCTTTGCAGGCGGGCCGCGGTCTGTGAATCGCTTATAATGGGTGACGACCTTTGGGGCGCTGACAGGGCGCCTACGAACTTCTGGGGAGGCCGAGAAGGATAGAGAGGTGATGAGCAGGTTGTCATTAGCAGAGGCGTTCTGGCGCCTTCAGCTGACGGACCCAAGGGTTTCTTTGAGCACTACAGAGCATGTAGCGCGCCCAATACGAGGTCTCTCTCGGTCGCCTAAGAAGTTAGAACTTGCAGGGATATCACATTGGGGCGTGGGAACCCATTGATAAGAGACTCGTGCTCATGCTGTGTATCGTCCTTATTGAGACTCGA